CACCTCTTCCAATGTAAAAAAAAAAGTGAGACATTTTATAATAAGGTTAAATGTATTACTGAATCCACAAAATGCCAGCAACTGGCTAATACAAAAAGACTGTTACTGCTTAAAAATCAAACATAAATTTATCTTCACCAGAAAAGAACAGTTATAATAACTGACTTGGTACTGTTGTATTGTTAAGTAGAATGATCTATTTAAATGAGGTCTTCATTTTTACACTAGCAAAATATAATGAGTTTGGCTTCCTGGTATTAATCCAAGCTTTGCAAAAACATTGAATACTTAGGAAATGCAATTCTTGTATTTATTCAGCAATCTTATAACCAAGGCAGAAATGCTTACACCAAGGACTGATTTGGACTAAACCCCATAAAGTCATGAATTTACTTTTGTCCTAGCCTGATGTAAATATCAGTGGACCTGCAGTCAATTCTAATAGAAGTTTGTTCACCTTTCCCTGGCTCTCTTCATTTGAACATCAAATAGTTACAAATATTTATAGAATAACTTCTGATTTATAATGGCATCAAATACAATCATGCTAAGAAAAGAGGAAGGGGAAAGTATTTTTTCTTGGACTTTAATACCAAATTGTGACACAAATTTTATACTACAAGGCAATGTCTGAATCTCTTACATCCTCATATGCCTTATACCTTAAAAGAGCATTTTTAATCATCTGATAAGAGCATTATTCAATTTGTATTTTCAGAATCATTTATGAACACTACTCTGGCGAGAGTTAGTTAGAGAGATGCATGTCACAGATCTTAGCTCATTCTTCTGCAAGTCAAAGACTAGTTTTAAGCAGAGGAAAATCACATCACAGCTCTGAGAGACTGTGCCCTTTCTAAGCCCAGGAGAAAAGTGCCAAGTATGGGACGAGCCAGAGTAAGAGTCACTTCCAGGCCTGCAAGAGTTTTTCTAGCAGCTTAAATATATGTTGACAGAGAAGTTGCTGGGTCCCCATATTTCTTCAGGAAGCTTCCATTTGGCAGACTTAGTCTAATCAAATAGATGGTTTTAAGTTAAGCAAATCTGCATGTTGCAAAATGATCCTGGCTCTAACAGACCTGCATTTGTATTGTCTGTTTGTCACTTTTTTCCTCCTTTTACTAATAGGCAGGGGTAATGTGTCCTTTAGACAGAGCATTTTAGATCCAGTAAAGGCTATGAAGACATATGGTGGAGGAGAGCAAGCATGACGACCTTTGTGGGCACCACAGACTGCATTCCTCTCATTCCACCACCTACCAGAGGAATCACCTGAAGGAACCACGTACCCCTCCGAATTTCTTTACCCATAATACAACTGGAAACATTACACTTCTTTGCTGGGAGAATTAGGAACAAGCTATGCAAATTGTCTGGCAGATAGTAAGCTCTCTGTAAGTCATCACTCTTGATTTTGTTTCTTTGCTGTATTGTGTTTGTGTTACTTTTGCGGTGGTTTGTGGTAGCGATTGCAGTTTTGTCTATTCTTCCCAAGAGGAGCTTGTGTTCGCCTGTTCTTCACACACACCAGTGCTGCAGCACTGAGCCCTCTCTCGTGGCACCAGTAGCTTACCAGTCATGGTGATTCTGCCCCCTTGGGGACATTTGGCGCTGATTGTCATATAGGCAGGGGATGGGGGCTCCTGCAATCTGGTAGGTAGAGGCCAAGGGAAGCAGGTAAACACCCCACAAGCACAGGACAACCCTTCCGCCCCCACAAAGAGCCATCCAGTCCAAATAGCAAGAGTGCTGAGAGTGAGAGGCCCTGGCCTACGTGACAAGCATAACACATTCTAGAGGCTGCAAAACCTTGGCAACCATCAGGATACTCATCATAAATTTAAACTGTCTGTGAAGGGAATGAAGGGCTGTGTCAGAAATAAGCATAAAATACGTATGAATAACTATTACACAGGCCGCCTGGCTGGTGGTGGTGGGTGGGTGCATTTGTGATTTACTCTTCTCTCACTGAGCATCCATTCTGGCTTCAGATATATGTTGTGTGATGAAGTCCACATTCTTTCTACATCACCGATCTGGAATAAATGGTGAACTTTCCCTAGACAATGGGGGTTTTCAAGACTTCCCTAAATCTCCCATACATGATTTAAAATCTTGTCAGATATGGGTGTGTCCATATCTAAAAGCTGATCAGACTTGACACTTGGGATAAGTATACTCTTCATATTATAGTGTATAGACATGTTTATACACCTCAGTATACAAACATTCTGTGAAGAAACATCTGTGATAGAATCCAAACAGAACCGGGCTAAATTTAGCTTTGCTTTGACGACACCACACAAACGAACTGCATAAGCCAGCATCAAATTGTACAGCCCCTATGCATGTCTGAAAAGCCTATATACATTGAAATGACCAAACTGCCATTTCAAATCACGCTTGTTCAAGCTGGTCCTCTCAAGCTCAACACATTTGATCAGTGTGCTATGAGTTTTAAAATAAAAACTTCATGTTTTTAAAACAATCATCACAATGAACTCAGAAAATCTTCCCATCTGAACTCGAGTTAGTGAGATTGCCCTGTTCTAATATATCTTTGTTTCTCACTTGAGGAATGGCATTTTCAAAGCACTTCAAGGAACAAAGAATCAACCTAGGAAACGTTTGAAGGTAGGAGGAGGTATGAAACTGGAGAAGGGGCGAGGTCTAGTAGTAATCAGTCTTATACTCCCTCCCAAAATTTTTGAACAATGTACAACAGTTTTACCCTCTCTCAGGATGTAAAAAAAAAGTCAACAATATTCTCAATCGACAACAGGGCTTATTTTTATACTATTTAATTATTTGAATTAGAATGTGTCAAAATTATTTCACAGGAGTGTCTAATCCTATATATAGGATTAGCGATCATTGGAACGATTGAGAACCTAAACATTCCCCTTAATTTTAATATAAAAAGGATTAGTACTACTGAAAAACTGTATAACCATCCTAGGAAAGAGGGACTGGCACACAGGCCACAATCTTATAAGTGATGCCAACTTATAGTAAAAACAAAAAAATACACTTTATGTGTGAGATTATATATTTTTAAAAAAAAAAAGATTTGCCAGCATAGCAAGTCTGTGGTTGGAAAATCATGTTTGAAGGCAGAAGAAGTAACAGCCAAGGCACCCAGATGCTGCTCTGTGTCTCGTTTCACAGCAAATGAAGGGATTTAAGGTTGAGTATAGAAAGACTCTTGAGTAGAGGCTCTTGCTGCGGTCTTCTTAATTCAGTGGCAGAGTCTGGTGTGTCTGAGTTCCCAGAAACCAGAATCATTGTTTCTTGTAAAGCCACAGCACGGTCTCAGCAAAGGCTGAAAAGGAATGATTGAAATCCACAAAGGCTATAAAGAACGCTGTTAGCCGGGCTCGGTGGCTCAGCCTGTAATCCTGCGCCTTTGGGAGGCTGAGGTGAGTGGATTGCCTGAGCCCGTGGGTTCGAGACCCGCCTGGGCAGGCGAGACCTCATTTCTACAATAAATCAAAAAATCAGTCGGGCGTGGTAGCACGCCCCTGTAGTTCCAGCTACATGGAAGGCTGAGGCGGATGGATCGCCGGAGCCCAGCAGGTCGAGGCTGCGGTGGCCGGGAGCGGCCACTGCACTCCAGTCTGGGCAATAGAGTGAGACTCCAACTCAAAAAAAAAAACCAAAAAAAAAAAGAACGCTGTTGACAAGGTGAGCAAGAAAAGCCAGGAAAGAGGTGAGTCAAAGCCAAATGGGAGGCCCTCTTGTAAGCAATCAATAGTGAACTTAACCATCTCACCAACCCAGTAAAAATGGAAAACGTGATTTCATTTTAATGTTGGTGAATTCATGGATTGTCAAGACACGGCAAATTTCAGGGGAAACTGGGATGAGGGGAGGATTATCTTCCAAATTAAAGTCAAGGAAGACAAGCATCTGTACTCTCAGATGCACACGGCAACGAGCCTGGGTCTGGGGTGACTGTGTTCATCCCTCCAGCAATTTCATTTATTTATTTTTTTGAGTCGGGGGTCTCACTCCATTGCCCAGGTTGGAGTGCAGTAACATAGACACAGCTGGCCGCAGCCTCAATCCCCTGAGCTCAGGTGATCCTTCCACCTCAGCCTCCCAAATAGCCAGGATCACAGGCACATACCACCATGCCCAGCTCATTTATTTATTTATTTATTTACTTTTTGTAGAGACGAGGTCTCGCTATGTTGCCCAGGCTGGTCTCAAACTCCTGAACTCAAGTAATCCTCTTACCTTGGCCTCCTTCAACAAGGATCAACTGTGGCCCTGTCACATGCTGAGCACCAGGCTATCTATACACATCACAAAGTCAATAATCTATGAGGGGGACCCCAAAAACCCGGCATTTATTTCTTTAAAAAGGGTGCATTTATTCTTACATGTTTAAACTTCAGTAACCTTCAAAGTATTCTCCACTGGATGCAATTCACCTACTGAGACACTTTTTCCACTGCTTAAAGCAGTTTTGTACTTGCCCATTTTGATGACTTTTAGGGCTTCTGCCGTTTTTTGTTTCATCTATTCCACATCGGCAAAACGTTTCCCTTTAAGGACTTCTTTCACCCAGGTAAGCAAAAAAGTCACTCGGGGTGAGATCAGGTAAACAAGGAGGGTGGGGCATGAGGGTCTTGCCACTATTGGCCAAAAACTGCTGAACACTCAGCGCGGTGTGGACAGATGCATTTTCATGGTGGAAGAACCAGTCACCTGTTTTCCACAACTTGGGATGTTTCTTCTACAAATCGTGACACAACCTCAAAACTCCCAGATAAAAAACTCTGGCTGACCGTTTGATCTGGAGGAAAAAATTCTGAGTGTACTACAAGGGGCCCGCCCTCCAAAAGGTAATTCCGGTTTGGGAGGGTCCTCTTCGTACTCCCTGCCTGAAGCAAGTTACAGGCTGGTGGGAGATGGGATGATAAACCCATGATTCGAATCACAGACATGTTCCCTTCTGCAAAAATTTCCTTGGGGTCTTGCTGAGGTCCTGCGTCCTATTTCCACCTTGTGTTCACCCAACTCAAAGTATAACAGCTACTTGCATTGAAAATTTCCTTCTTCAGGAACAGCTGAGGTTTAGATAAATCTTTGTAACTGTGAAAAAGCCTGAAATCTTTTCGTTCTAACTCTTTGAGGAGGCTGTACCAGAACCGCACGACGCTGTTGTCGCCGCCACTGACCTCGAAGCCAGGCCAGTGGAGATGGATCTCAAAGATGAGCTGTCCAATGTGCTCAAGCACATCTTCCAGAATAAGATTTTCCAGAACTTTCCATTCCGCACTTTCCAGATCTGCCTTGAGAACATCAATCTGGAACAGAGCAATGAGATAAGATGAGCAGATCTGATCAATCACTGTTTTAAAAAAATCTAAATATCAGGAGTCTCACGTTATAACTGTTTCCTAAGGAAGCATATTTTTTTAAATTTTAGAGTTGAAGGTCGTTTTCACATGGCCATTCATGACATGAATTTCTAACTTCATTCCATACTAAATATTTTGGGTTTTTGTTTTTTTGTTGTTGCTGCTGTTGGAGTTTTTTTTTTGTTTGTTTGTTTCTTCATTTTGGTTTTGTTCTTGTTTTTAAGAGACAGGGTCTTACTATATTTCCCAGGCTGGTCTTAAGCTCCCAGGCTCAAGCAAATCTCTCGCCTCAGCCTCCCGAGTAGCTAGGACTATAGGCATGTATCACCACGCCTGGCTTAAATGTTAATATACACATAATGAAATGCCAGGCAGAAATCATAATGGACTCTCTTGCTTCCTGACCAGTGGGAAAGGACAGCTGAGAAAGTGAAGCTATGGCAAGTGTACATCATAGAGTTCTGTGTATACAGCCTCTTCCACAACCTATACGCCATTCAAGGAATCCAGCCAAGTCCTGGCAGAATAGTGGCTCCAGGAAGGGACTGACAGAGGGCCACTGCCTGTAGGAACAACCTCACAAGCTCCCTTCATCCCCCACAACTGCTTCAGGACTGGGGGCCCAGGAAGGGGTTCTCAAGTATCTGAATACTAAACCTGCAGAAAACATTATTATTCCACGGTTTCTTTATACAGTATATACCAGTATTCTTTTAAAGAATCAACACCATCCTCTGCTCATTTAATAAGTTCACATCCAGGGAAGACAGCATAAAGGAAGAATAAATGGGTGAGAAATGTTTTGCAGTTAATCAAGTTATGAAAATCAATTCCTTTTTGCTGCCTTTGCATAAAATCCACTCAAATAACAGAGCCCTAAACACTTTCAGAAAGCAACGAAAGTTCTCCCACACCAAGCACCTGTGTGTGCCTGACCCCATGCTAAGTGCTGCCCTTGCATTGTCTATTTAATCACAGACAATGCTGTGAGGGTGATTGTTAAGGTTTCGAATGCAAGCTTAGGAAATCAGACCCAGGGAGGAATCCAACCCAGTCACACAGCTGGAGATGCTGTGGGGACATTCAAGCAGAATCTGTCTACAAAGCCCGTGTACTCAGCGATGCTGCCTCCCTGGTAGACTGACGAGGAAAAATGGGTAACTAACTCCGAGTCCCAAAGAGGGGTTGGGTCTGGATTAAATAAGGTGCTGTCTGGAGAGTGAACATGAGCCAGTGAGTAAATCATCATTGTCAGTGTCACCAAAGGGGTTCATTTCACCACACTGAAGAAAGCTGACAGCAAGCTGGAATAATTAGCATGGAGGGAATCATTGCTGGAGTCCCCAGAAGTGACAACAGAAACTTCCAGTGCCCTTCAGGAAGCTGCTGGTGGAAGTCACTGATATCCTGCTTCATGAAAGTGAAAATGTTTTTGCTTGTTGAGAAGGGAGAGTATAAACATCATGGCCGGTCCTGCCCGACCTCTCCTGTCTCTCACTCCACGTCTGTTCCATAAGTTTCCCACAGGATACCTTGATGTAAGGCCCCTAGGACCACAGAAACATTCCTTGTATGATTTCAGAGTTGAGTGGAAGAGAAGGTACATAGATCTTGTATATAGTTACCACAGGAAGTGGGCTTTGCCTGACACCCTGAGACCTTGTGGGACTTGGTTTCACTCTCTTGCCTTGGGTCCCAACTGAGAATTCTGAGTGGCCTTAGACAAGACCAAATATCTGAAAACCAACTTGCCAGTTCAATGGTTCCAAAATCAGAAAAACAAAGTAAAAAAAAAACTTTTCTCCATGTAAGGAGCTGAGCAAAGGCGGTTCCCTGTGAACATACACCAGGCCAAAATCACTCTTGTGAATACACAGTGAAATAAATACACTCTTTTTTTCCATCTCTGCTGCCCTGGCATGTCCATGGCTTCGTTTAATCATGGCAGTTTTGAGCAGAATACTCCTGGATGAAGGGTAATTAAGTTGCCAGAAGAAATATTTAATCAAAATTTCACAAAATTATCTAGTTGGTACAAAATATATCCCAAACTCAAAATCAGTATTTGTTGAATCAATTCACATAGTCAAAAATTCCTTAGGATTTTTACAGACTTATGTTCACCATGTTTTTTTGTGCATTTGCATATGTTGAATGTGAGGAATACATCAAAGTATTAGCCGGGCACAGTGGCTCACGCCTGTAATCCCAGCACCTTGGGAGGCCGGGTGGGAGAATCACTTGAGCCCTGGAGTTTGAGACCAGCCTGGGCAACACAGCAAGACCTCATCCCTATACAAAAATCAAAAAATTAGCTGGACGTGGTATCCTGTGCTTGTAGTACCAGCTACTTGGGAGGCTGAGGGAGAAGGATAGCCTAATCCCAAGAGTTCAAGGTCGCAGTGAACTGTGATCTTGCCACTGCACTCCAGCCTGGGCAACAGAGTGAGACCCGGACTAAAAAAAAAAAATATATATATATATATAATATATAAATTAAAATATTTATTTAAAGATTATATATATCTTTATTTTAGATAAATATATATAATAAATATATATATCTTTATTTTAGATAAATATATATAATAAATATATATATCTTTAAATTGTCCTAAAACTAAGTTGGTGACACGTAGAAAATATATTTTATATACTTATTCCCAGCATATTTTAAAAATAAACTATCAAGCAGAAGTTATGAGCAACCTGAATTATAGGGCTAAATCATAGCAAATATATACATTCTTTGAAAATCCAATTTTCATTTCTAAAATGCTAATCTATTCTTTTTTTTTTTTTTCCTTTGAGTTGGAGTCTCACTCTGTTGCCCAGACTGGAGTGCAGTGGCCACTCCCAGCCAC